AAATTGCAGGGTGTATTGGCCAATTTGTCTGTATTCAATGGTGCAAAAATCAACTACCTGTGATTTTAACTTATCTTTCATGTTCAGATCTAAAGTGAACATGGCAGCACCTCCAAAAAGGTTCAATGTGGAAGAGCATAGGATCATAATCAAGTTCCTGTTTCTCCAAGGAAAAGGTGCAAAGCAGATCCACGATGAAATGTCACAAACTATGAGTGTCAGTGGCCCTTCATATGCAACAGTTCAACATTGGGTTGTCAATTTTAAAACTGGCCATTTCGGTGTTGAAAGTGAGAAACCCAGTGGGAGGCCTGTTTCTGTCTCTGTGCCTACAAATGTGAAAGCCATCCATGACATGATCATGGAGGACTGACAAATATCAGCCAAAAGTATTGCTATATATCTGAGATCATGTGAAATAATGGAAGCACAGTGGTTCCCCTGGGCCAAATAAGTTCCGAGTACAAAGGTCAGTGCAGAAGCAAATGGCAACAGTTTTTTTGGGATAAGAAGGGAGTTCTGCTGTGGACTACCTCCCACAGGGTTCAACCATCAATGCAAAATATTACTGTGTTTTATTAACAAAGTTGAGGCAAAACATCAAGACCAAACATTGAGGAAAGCTCTCCAAAGGTGTCATCCTGTTGCATGACAACGCCTCGTCACACACTGCAGGTGAAATAATGGCAAAACTGACATCCTTGGGCTTTCAAGTGATGCCCTATCCACCCTATTCTCCCGACCTGGCTCCTTCTGATGATTATCTGTTCCCCAAACTCAAAAAACACCTAAAGGGACAACAATTTGGGAGTGTTCTGGAGGCAATTAATGCTGCAAATGAGTGGTTATACCAGCAGTCAGAAGAATTTTATTTGCAGGGACTTAAGAAGCTGCAGGACAGATGTCGCAAGTGCATTGATTTCCTGGGGGAATATGTAGAATAGTGTGGCAGTTACAACTTCCTAGCTCAATTTTTTCTGGGAAAGGCTCAATACTTATGATATGAGGGGGTGCTGATAATGGGTACTGCAGCCTTGAAGTACACTAAAAACTGGATTTGATCTTAGATATTCCAAGTAGTTCTGGCTCTCTAGATACAGTGGGGTCTCAACTTACGAACGGCTCGACATACGAACGTTTCGACTTACGAACTGCTCTCATAGGAATATATGGACTCGACTTGCAAACTTAGATTCGAGTTACAAACTTTTTTCCTTTTTTTAAAGCTAAGTCATCTTAGATTAAAAGGAAAAAAATCCCCCTCTAGTGGCAGAAGGCGGAATAGCAGCTTCCCATTAGTTTCTATGGACGAAAAGAGCAAATACGGATTAAATGGTTTTCAATGCATTCCTATGGGAAATGCAGATTCAACTTAAGAACTTTTTGACCTGAGAACTGCCTTCCAATACGGATTAAGTTCGTAAGTCGAGACCCCACTGTACCATTAGACTGAAACTTCCACATCCATCTTCCTTCTCCAAGAGAACCTGCAGTCCAGGAATACCTGGAAGGCCACAGATTCTCCAATCCTATCTGTAATTAAGCTAATTTCTCTCATCTTTCTTTAGTGTCTCTTTCATGTTTGTACAAAAGGTTCATTAGACTGAAACTTCCACATCCATCTTCCTTCTCCAAGAGAAGCTGCAGTCCAGGAATACCTGGAAGGCCACAGATTCTCCAATCCTATCTGTAATTAAGCTAATCTCTCTCATCTTTCTTTAGTGTCTCTTTCATGTTTGTACAAATTCTTCCACCACAGAGAGAAAGGTTCACTTTCTCTAAACACTACAACCATCCAATAAACAATTGAAGATATGTATTAACTCTTGCATAACATAGGCTACTCTTTAATCTACTGAAAATGAAACATGATTCTAATTGCTTGATTTTTATTAAGTTCAATAAATGATATTCTGATTATATTGAATATATGGATTCTATGCTTGGATGACAGACAGACTTGTAATACATTTGACAAAAGATTTCACATTCTTTTAATTTTTTTAATACATCATGAACTTTCAGGAAGCAGTTGCAAAAAAGAAATAATTTACAAAATCATTACAGAAAATCATTTCCTAATATTGGGAAGGGCTTCGACAAAATCCAATTAAACCATTTTATTAGTATCTAGATTTCAGTGTCCAACTGACAATACCAAGTTGACAGTCATTGACTATTTACTTATTAATGCAAATATTAAGAAAACTCATATTAGATTCTTACAAACATTGCAAAAATCACAATCACAGGAACAGGACCAAACCATTACTTTAACTATAAAAGTCTGACCAATCCATTATTACATTATAAAGTTATCCATATGTATTGTACAGATTTCCTAGCTTACTTACAAATCTCATTATGGAACACTATTCCTTGAAGAGCGGCATGTATATTGGATTATTCTTCTCACCAAGATAGGTTACATGATTAATTTAGGTCAGTGTGGGGAAAGCTGGCTTCCGTCCCCTGTACTGAGACCTCTGCATCTGTGATGGACCACAGTTGCAGGGTGACCCAGCTCTGATCCTGTTCCACTTTCCCCTTGCATTAGAAAGACAAGAGGAGCAAAATTGGGCAAGTGATTACAGAGGAATTACAACTGTTATTGTCTGCCTGTAACTGGCTGTGATGGCAAATCCTCTCTCTACTAGCCTCTAGCCGACAGGGCACTGGCAGTGCCAGTCTCAAAGCTTCCACATGCCAAAAGGAGAACCTTCTGGCATGTGGAGACAAGCCAGGTTAGGCTCAAGGATGGGGGATTTCTCATACTTCTCTTTGTTTTCTGACTGATTGGCTTGCAGATAAGGTATCTGCTCAAATCCAACAACGGAAAAAGATGCTCAGAATAATAACATTCTCTTTTCTGAACAAGACGTGGTTCCATTCACAGAGGGCACGACTGAGAGTTTTAAAACCTGATTTTCTGAAAAATATCAGCTCCACATGCAGACAAATAAAGGAGTGTCTTTAGGCTATGACAAAAGAATTTCTCTTTGCTGTATTCCTCAGGAGAAGGTGTGCGTCTTTGATATTTAATATTTCCATTCCTTCCTTCAATTTTGTTTTCAGAAATCTGCTCTCATTTACACAAAGGCCAAGACAGAATGGAGCACAGTCACTTAACAGTGCTCAACTTTGGGATTTTAACTCTTGCACCTTGACACAGCACAATCCTATGCATGTTCCCTCAGAAGGTGTGCCCCATTAATACAATAGAATTTGCTTCTAGGTAAGCAAATTCGGAATTGCAACTATAAATGGAACAAGAGCAACGTGCTTCTTTTTACTGTTCAGTGTAAAATGGAACATTTGATTCATGATTTTTTTAAAAACAGCACTGCTTTATATATCCTTTAAACAGCACAATATCTTTACATGAAAATAATTTGTGTAGGAAAATACGTGCTTACCACATAGAGCGAAGTTGGGCATGAGTAATTTTCAGACCATGAACACACCAACCAGGCAGATATTTATGTTTCCGTACAGAAAATACTTTAATAGAAAAATTAATGTGGGACCTAAGGAGAGTTTACATACTGAAACTGTACAGGTTTTCCTAAGTGGCTTTGGAAAGTATAGATAGTAATTACTCCATTTTGAATCTGTTTCATGCAAATTTTAAAAATATTTGTACACATTTATTGTGCACAAATAGATGCTTCAAAGATTAACTGCAAAGATATGCTAAAGAGTTTATACACATTTTAGAATTGCACTTGATTTTTAAATGTTTTTAAATATTTTAAAAACACATGCATGATACCAAAAAAAACCCCCTTTTTTGTCTCTTTTGCACAAATGTAGGATTCCTAGCCACAAATCTTATTTGTTTTTATGTCTGGGGAAGATGTGACTTTGACAAGCCCATTTTTTAAAAAACACACAAAAAAAACCACAAGAGTAGATTTCTCACAAATTCCTATTCCAGAATTAAGATATATCAAAGGTCTTGTACATGAGTAAAGCAGAAATCTGCAAAACAATGGATCCACCATGTTGAGATCACATTTTACAGTTGCTTAAGCAAGAAGAAAATGAAGATTTTCTTGGCTGCTAGCACACACATGTGCACGCACACACAAACACACACACACACACACACACAGTTGTGCCAATGTAAACTTCCTTTTAATCAATGTTCCTTAAATGCCTGGGCAATGATGCAAAAAAGTTTTATCAATTTCATTAATATGTAAGCTGTTTCAGAATTGGCTATGTACCTTAATACAAAGAGGATAAAATGTTGGGGTTTCCATAATGAGGAAATCTGGTATTATGCACATTATAATACAATGTATGAACATACATTTTAATGTATTTACATATATATATGTATGTATGTATATACACACACACAGGTTAACTAAAACATAACAAAGAACAGACACAGCACTCTGCTGAGGTGAAATTATTATTTAACTCAACTATTAAACGATAGTTCTGTAATGTTACATATGGCTTTAAGCAGCTCAAAAAAGTGAAATAAGAGTTATGACAGATTTTGCCAATTAAGGTAAGCTGTCCTCAAAATACACCAGCACAATTAAAGTTAGCATTTCTTCCAAGAAAGAAGCAAGAGCTATATGAATGATATTTCATTAATCTTATACTCATCACGGAGACCTTCAGGAAAGTAGGTGATCCCACAGCTGATCAGTGGGCAAATGGGGTATTTGTTTCACTGTCTTGGAGCCTCAACCGTATCTTGGTCATTCCTATTCCATTTCAAAAAGCTTTCTCTCATGCATGTGACTTTTGTAATCCTTAAGGGATGTCACTTTCATCATTTTCTGGAAAGCATGTAAGGTTTAGCATATTTCAGAAAGCCCTATCAAATGTCTTTTGGTTTGGTGAACATCATTCATATTGGCTAAATGCTTTGTTTGGGATTCCCAGTGTGGTGTAGTGGACTGAATGATGAACTCTGGGTTCAAATTCCTACTTGGCCATGGAAACTCACTGTGGGAATGGAACAGGTAAAACCTCTCCTTTGATATCCCTCTTAACTTGAAAGCCCTATTAGGGTTGCTACAAGTCAGTTCCTACTTTGACAGCACAGAACACACAAGTGCTTCGTTACTTCATCATTAGAAGTAGATGCCAAAAGCTCAGGAGCAGCAACATTGGTTTCTTCCACCAATTACTAAGCCATTCTTTTGATTGCCTTTAAAAAGAAGACTTTAGGAAAAGAACTGGATAACATAAAAACTGATGCATCCATAGGCTCCAACAGATTAGTTATTTCTACTTTTAAAAAATGCATAAAACAAGAGATTCAGCACATAAAATCAGATAGAATTGGTTGGATCTAGATATATGAGTGTTTTAAGGAAGCTGACAGAAGCAAATATCCCCAGCTCACTGTACCAAGAGCAGACCTTGACGTAAGCGGTGCCCTAAGGGATGGAAGGTCTCGTCAAAGACTGGCAAAGGCATTTTCTGAGACACCTTCTATCCACAGAAAGCAGATCTCAGATCCAAGCTGTTGCTCTGTCTTAACTTGTGGGGATGGAGGATCAACACATGTTTGATACCATAATGAAACTTTTTTCTAATTACAAATATTTAAGTCATATGAGGAGCACCACTGTAATTTTTAAGTGGCTCAGTAGATTTATGCAACTCATGCCAATATTGCACGTGGAACTGTTCAGCAAAGACACTGTGCAATTGTTAACTGATGCAGTCCCCATGAAACACTTCTTTCATCACCACATATTTTCAGGCTATTCTGATAATGAGAAACTCAAAGATTTTTTTCTTTTACTGTCAGTAACTGTTAAGAGATATATTGAAAACTGTGTGACAGATATACACACAGTCTCTTCTAGACATGCAACAGTCTATTTATACAACATTACAGGTACAAAGAGTGGGTTGCACCCAACATTGTACTAGTGCTAGCATCAGGATTCCCCCCTTTTTAAGGTAGCTGTTGAAAGAAAGGAGAATCATCTCCATCCAAATCTGCTTGCAAAAGCAGCTTCCACCAGCATTAATTCCCTGTAGAAGCCTGCCCAATGTTGCTACATCCCACAACTCCAAAAAGTCTGTCTTTGTTACCCATCACATAATTGCTCTGAAATATAGCTGAAAAGAAGCCAGGGAATCAAGACAGACTTTGAACAAAGAGTCTTGTGACCACTTAAAAACTAATTTATTATGGCATAAACTTTCATGGACTAGACATCAGATAACTTTTTCAGCATTTGAAGACTCTGCAAGGCATTTTATTTTACCAAAACATATTAACTACAGTTATGCCCTCTGGGAGTCAAGAACAGAAATAGAGTGTTTCTACCTATTGTTTATGCTTAGCTGATGTCAATCTCCTAATGATATTTGGACAAAAACATAAGAAAAAGACTCCTGTGAAATACAATTCTGCTAAAATCACTGACGTTTCACCATGGTTCCATATGACAGGGGAAAGAGTCCACATTATGTTAAGCAGGCAGTTTAAGAAAAATCAAACCCTAATGGTTCAGAGTATTCCGTCTCATCTAATAAAGCACACCCGCCACCTTTGTTTCTTCTGAGACGTAGAGCTTATCACAAGACACCATGTCCAAAAGGCTTAACTGAAGTCATCTCACGCTTCCGATTCTCGTTTCTTTTTCCCATCCTCTCCCAAGTCGCTGTCTTCTGACTGGCTACTGCTAAGGACTACAAACTGACCTTCACCAACACTCTGGCTGGATCTAGTAGAAGCAGCTATTAGTCGGCTTTGCTCTTCCAGATCCTGAAAGAAAGGACTCACTCTTAAACAGATGACCAAGTTGACACTGTATTGATAATTGCCATTAGGCAAATCTACTGTGCAACCAAACTCAGCATACTACTACAGTTCTAATTCTCCAAAGGGTTATTTTAAGAGATGGAGAAGGTAGAGGAAACAGCAACCAAAACTGTTGGGAACTGGAGCAACCCTGGCTTCCATGTTCAGGATTTTCATTTAAAAAACAAGTGCAGGGAGTATGAAAGAGGTTTATCCAGTTATGTGTGATATAGAGAAAAATGATTTGGATTTACAGTGAGATATCCTGATCAGTGGAGAACTGGTAGAAAAGGATTAACTTCTGTGTCTGTAAACAACTAAGCCAAGCAATGAAACTGTAATTAAGAAGAGTGGTTGCAATGACCAGATAGGTGGGGTATACATAGAATAAATAAACAAATAAAGCCAAGCAATGAAACTGTAATTAAGAAGATATTAAGAAGAGTGGTCGCAATGACCAGATTGGTGTATACATAGAATAAATAAACAAATACATAAATTAACAATAAAAATCTGTTTTGTCAACCTCTGAACTTGAACAAAGAAAACAGCAGAAACAGAGGTGTTGTTAAGATCCCCGGGTGCTTTGTAAGGTGGTTGGAGATGTAAGAGAGGAGAGGATGAAGCATGAGGAGAAGGACAAGGACGGCAAGCATCCATCCCATCCTCAAGAATGGTCTTTGCTTCTCAACTGGATATGAGAATGACAGACCAGCTATTGAGACAGAAGATGCTATTTCTCTAAAAACTGAATGGTTTATCCAGTTTAAAATACTGGCCTGACAGATGATACCCTCAAATCTGAGAAAAATAGTTGCTGCTGTCTACTTAACTCCTGTAACCCTTCCCCCAGCTGAGGTAATAAACGTAGCAATCCCCCCCCCCACAATGCTACTGAGGAATATTTTCTCCACCGGGGCTAGGCCCTTCCTTACACCTGAAGCACTAATACTTGACCTCAGGAACTTCTTTTTCTTTAAAGAGAGATGCCCACACGGGAGTGGCAACTGTACAATCACTCTCACGCAGCACCACAGTTCTTCAGAGACTGACTAGCTTTAACACCTACACGAAGCTACTGGAGAACTGGAAGAGTTTGTACATGCTTTTAACCCAACTTGGAGAAACTGTGCTTCTTTTTCATTGGCATCCAGTTGACTTCTTTCTCTCTGCTGGGTACCTTTATGACTGATTCCTCGAAGGTATTAGGATGTTCCTCTGGCAGCCCTTTAACCAGAGGAAAGCTGCAACAGTTCAATGAAGCCATGGTACTTTCTAAAGTTTTGCTCTGTTTTTTAAAATCAATATCTGGAGCAGTCACCTCACCATCCCCTCACTTGGACGCATCCATCCCTGGCTCAGAATGGATAAAAAGGGGGCAGGGGGAAGTGATTCCTCGAAGGTATTAGGATGTTCCTCTGGCAGCCCTTTAACCAGAGGAAAGCTGCAACAGTTCAATGAAGCCATGGTACTTTCTAAAGTTTTGCTCTGTTTTTTAAAATCAATATCTGGAGCAATCACCTCACCATCCCGTCACTTGGACGCATCCATCCCTGGCTCAGAATGGATAAAAAGGGGGCAGAGGGAAGCAGAGGAAAATAAATAAAAAGGTAATTCCTGAGGTATAGAACCAACCAAACCAATAACTTTACAGACACAATGGGATCTCGGACTGATAGTGGTGTAAGCTGCCTTAAGCACTACTTTGTAATAGTGACGGAGTGTGGTATGGGTAGAAAGGTAAATAAAGATGAGAACACCATAAAATGATAGGTGGAACTCTAAGGCAAAGCCCTCCTCTGGAAAGTCAATGTTGCACAAGACATAGAAATTTTCTTAGGACAAATTAATTTTTTCCCCAGACACAGCACTTTTGAGAAATCAAGTGCTTTTTTAACCAAACACCTACCTTTTCAATTTGTTTTTGTTTACTAAGTTCTTTCTGCTGTTTCTCTTTTACTCGTTCTATTTCTTTCTGCTTTTCTGACGTTCTACGGTCCTGAACAATAAAAGAAAGAGGTATTATTAATAAATGCTTGAAGAAATGAGTATTAATATATTCTAGAGATGTGCAATTTTGTGTTTTTAGTAGTTTTAGTTGTTGTGTTTTGTAGCCCGAAAACATAAACCTGTGCACCTCTGATGTATTCTGTGTGGTCAATGTATACCAGTCCACACCAAAGAAATGATACAAAGATTATCTGCTGTCGCCCTTCAAAGGAACTGAAGGGAACTATATGCAGCATTCTCTTTTTTAAAGCAACTAACTTTCACATGACCAAACTATTCAATCAATAAAAAACTGGATCAATGAATTCGTAGACAAGTTATTGTTAGCCACTGTAAAAGGAACTTTCACAACCTATTTTGCAATGCTGCACCACTTTCCAAAGCACGTAGATTTTAAATTAACAGCTATATTCAAATCTAAGGTCAACAGTCATCCAAGAGACACAAAACTAAAAAATGCACATTCTTTAACTAGAGAAGACTTTGAAGAACCCAGAGTTGTTTCAGAAACCTTGGCTTTTCCTTGTTTCAGGAAAGATGGTACTACATTCATAGATCCTGTTCTCTAATGCAAGCTGACACTTGTAGTCTTGTTTTGGAATCACATCCTGCATACCACTAAACCTAGGTTTTTCCCTTCTCCAGAAGAATGCAGCTCAGACACTGAATGTGTTATTAAATTTTTATTCATTTACACATATTCTCTATCATAGTACACTTGTCTGTAATCACTTATTAAAAACAACAACTGGTTGACACAGCAGTTCACCTGTAAGAAAAAGATCTAGTTAGGTGGCCTGTCTCAACTCAATGTTATCTGATACGTCTGTTGGCTTATGATGAAACTAGGGAACATCTTTTCAGAGTGAGGCACCCACTCAGACCATAGGCTGCCTACACATAATGCATATAGAATGCCTACAGATATTATTACAATTGATAGTCTTACCAATTCAGCATGAAATGCAATCTGTTTTGCAAGTCCCACAGAGTCACAAATCTATACAGAAAAAAAAGATGAACAACATAGTAAGAGTAATAAAATGTGACCACCATTGTAAGAGAGCAAGTTCACATAATGTTGCACTTGAATATCCATAACTGTATTCAAGAACTTTAGTTGAATTGTGGTAAGTACCTTCTCCCCTTCGTTATTTGATTCAAATATGTAGCAGACAGATGTTGGTCTGCTATCTGCTCTCCCTGCTGAAGTTCGAAGCACAAATCCAAAAAGGCGCTTGTTCTCCTGGTGTGTGGCATACAGAACTACATTTGGCAAAGGAAACTGTTGGGGAAAAAAAGAAACTTTAAAACTTGCAAGTTAATTAACAGCAACAAATCCTAGAGATCACAGGGGCAATAAATGAAACTATCCATTGGTCAAAATCCTACACCAGTAGAAGAGAAATGGCTTAACTTGCAGCAGCAAACTGCTCCTAGTTAACAACTCCATTTGAACTCCTCAATGTGTACTAGTCAGTTTGCTTGGTGTTTGAGCAAGAATTTAAGCATGGATGACCAGCAATCTGCATTGTGATGATTCATTTCCCGTCTGCTATTGTAACTACACCACCAAATTTTGGTCAATGACTTTTCAGACTTTAATTACGATAAAATGCCAGCTGTGCTTCTGACTTTTCTCTAGAGGTCTGTAAAATTCTGTAGGCCTTTTTTGGTTGTGTTCAGTCATCAGAATCAATGACCTGACATCAGTGTAAGTGTAGCTATGTAAACTGTGGTAATAAATTGTGGCTAATTAAATGACTTATTGCTCATATTCTCGTCATATGTCAGGCATGCAAACTAGCGTGCAACTAGGAGTACAAGCAGCAACCTGTTAAGCATTGGCAGTTTGCTACTGCAATTTATGCAATTATGCTTGTGGCAATTTTAATCAACAACAGGATTCTGGTGCTTTGTATTTTAATATCACAATAAAATTTCTCACTGTTAAGCCATAAATCCCCATCACAATACACATAATTATTTTTAAATGAATGTGATTTTATATTTATTTTTCATTCATTATATAGTATTTAAGCATTTCAAACTGACTTGAATTCAGTATATAGAGCATCTGTCTATTCATTTACATCAATATTATGATCCATGCATTAGCCTTTGTTACTTGAAGTAGTGGTTTACAATGAGAACAACTTTCAGAGAACTGCAAAAGTGCTTTTCTCCCACAGCACAGAGTATTACAGTGGACCCTCGACTTACAGACGGCTCGACTTACAGACTTTTCGAGTTACAGACTTCTCTGGCAGCAAAATTTTGATTTGACTTGCAGACGGAGAATCGACTTACAGACCAGAAAAAAACCAAAATGGAACAAAAATAGAATAAAAACTGCCAGTTATGGGATTAATCGGTTTTCAATGCATTGTAGGTCAATGGAGACTCGACCTACAGACTTTTCGACTTGCAGCCACTGTTCCAATATGGATTAATTCCGTAAGTAGAGGGTCCACTGTATAGCCACAGGAGAGATGGCAGCAGCAAAGTTTTCTGGTCTTTTATTATTAGAAACAGTGACTTCAAAGCAAGAAACAAAGGCAAGATTAGTGTCTCGTTCCCTCGAATCCTGCTTCAAGAAGTAAAATGGCAGCAAAACTATTAAGAGTAATAAAAAGGCTACCGTTTTTCTTTCACAATCACAGAGCCTTTAAGCTGTCTGTAATCCACACTGCTGGTTTTTAGCAATAGAGATGCCATTTTTTAGCAGCAGAGCATTTTAATCCAATTTTTCTTGGAGCGCCAGGAGACCATTAAAAAAGGGGCTTGAGAAGCCACCTGAGGCCTACAAGCCATACTTTGCCTACTTCCGTTTTAAGTAATAAAATTAATGTCCACTGTCTTGAATTTACAGCCAAGCAAATGTGTCCTTGGCACCAAGCATACCATTCACTCTGCCAATGTAAGGATACCAGCACTGATGTTAATATAAGGCTGGCACTGAAAGTAGTGCCACTGTTTGGGACTGGGTTGCTGGTTATGTTGTGGCAAACACAGCAACCATGATACAATTTAGCATTATTGATGACAAGCAGGTAATGTACTGAAACACCACAAGGTGTGGAGATCTTGAGATTTGAGATCTCTAACCACAAGGTGAGTTCCTTGTTTTTTCCTGCTCTGATTTTAGCAACTTACCCTGAGTCTTGTCACTTGCGTCTGTGGATCTATTAACCTAGGAGCATTAATTTAAGAAACATTATTATTAATAGCATTAAATATTATTGTACTAAATAAGAGAATGTTCGACAAATGTGTTAATCTTCAGAAAGAGAACACTCACTTTAAACAGTCACACGTGACGAGTAAATGTGACTCTGTCATTCTGAAAATATTATGTATAGCACGAGCTGCAAGGATTTGGCGCATAGTTTCGTAAACAACATCAGAACTTTCATCTGACTTTACTTCCATGGATCCAAGGAATCTTACAATAAATAACTGATGCAGGATAGAATCTAGAAAAGGACATATTAAAGACATGCTATGAACCACCTTTGTCTGGGCTTTCCAATGAAGCTTTGATCATGGTCTAACAGCGTACCCACTACACACACTGTACTACACAGCAACTGTATTCTACCCACCATACATTCTACTAAACAGGAACACACCAAAAGAAGTGCACAACACACCCAAACACTGATACTTCTGCTTCAACATCACTGAAAGTCTTCCCAGCATACATGATTTTATATTAATGTTAACCAAGAGTTCAAAGCAATTATCTCATTCAACCATTGTGACATGTTTTTAAGTATGCAGAACTCTTGTGCATGCTGGCCAGACAAATGTAAAAAAAGACAAGGGAGATGAATTAGGGTTGCGATCTGAATTTTGGGAAGTGGAAATGGTCAAGAGAGCTTTGTAAACAAAAACAGATGAGCCGTCTTCTATTCTGAAGTAGTATAAATTTTTCTGGAGCATTTGCTTCTTTCCCCTGACGGGCCCAAGTATACAGGGCAAGTGCCATGTTCTTTGAATGAAAAAAAAATCCCCCTGTGAACATACTGTTACATGTAAGCACCAAAGACAGAGAAGACTATGAATTACACAGAAATATTGTGTATTTCAACATATAAAGTTACAAATTTCATCCAACGCTATATTTAAATCTGAATGGATTGCTCACAGTAAATCCCAATTAATTGGCGGAAATCAGTATCACAATCAAGACAGTAGTAGCCTTAGATTTAAATGAAAGAGTGATTGCTTTCTCAAAATTAGAGACGGAGTCCTAGGGATGCTGAGCTTCACTCAACTTTTCCCATTGGAAACTGCAGAATGTGAAGATATCCATACATGTGATGGGGCTACGTTCAAAGAACTGTATTGATTAACGGGTCTGGCATGTCCTTGACATGTTGAATTTTCGCGATGGTCAAGATCTAGTGAGTGCTTCCACTGACAGAATTACTTCCCCCAGTGGAACCAGGAAAGGGCCAAATTCCCACCATGCTATATTTCCTAGAATCACAAGCAATTCAGACTGTGCTACAGGCTCATGCCATCTTTGTCTGCATGCCACCCGATGTGATCAGGAGACTGCCCTGCCAGATGAACACAATTCTTTTCCTTTCCTCAAAAACAACTGAAGACCCCGGGGAAGGCGGGTCTGCATGACCTCATGTCACAACTCTTTATGTATAAAGGGATTCATCTATGTGCCTGACAATATACACTATTTTCATTCTGCTCTAATTCACAATCAGCCTGTCACTTTCATTAGCACCCCACTTCCACAGAGTTGACACACCAATGCTAGCAATGACTTCACTAAAATACTGTCCTACCTTCTGTTTCTGATTTGGTTCCACCAGATTCCCCGAAAGGATTTGTACGCCTGCCAAAAGGACAAGAAAAAAATCAGAGGAGTGATTCCTCCACACAGATTACTAACAATCAAATAGTATGATATATTAAAATGATGGTGGTAGTTGAAGAAGGATGCACACAATAAATGGGTTTCAAAACATAAAACCATATTGACTAATTTGCATTGAGTTGGGCAACTGGTGGCCTCTAAATATTTTCGGATTGCAATATACATAATCCTATGCCACTGACTACACCGGCAAAAGATTGTGGCTCACCTTTGTCTTACATGACTGCTTTATTTCAACAGAACACAAATGGAAGGACCAGTGCCTTGTATAAGATTAAAACCCAAATTCTTGAAAATCATGTATGTCTCTTTATTTTCCTCTGGATATTTAATATTCTTTTATCACCGGGGGGAAGGCAAAATTAGAATATGATCGCAATCCTTATCTTACCAAAACATAAGGGCAATAAAAGATGCACTCCTTATTTGAAATTGCTGGCTGCCCATAGCTTAATCTGTTATTCAATTATAAGAAGTCACACTTTCAAATACAGCTGTTTAGTCTTGATCAAGAAAAAGGTGGCTAGGTTTGGCTCTCAACACAGACATCATTACTTTTAAAAGTATACTCAAGTGAAAATTTTCTAGGCTTCCAGTATGTATCATAAGCACTGAAACGCACTTACTCAGAAGAACCACTTTTTTAAAACTGGGGAATTGTTAAGGCTTTTTAGGAAGGTTGTAGATAATGCTTTTGTGTCTTCATGAATTGTTAAACAAAAGGGTGAATCTTTCACAGAAACACAGAATTGAAAGGCATCGCAGATGTCATCTACTCCAACTCTCTACTCAATGCAACATCTACTCTCCTTGACAATATCACCTTCCTTGACAAACATCTCTCTCTGGCTTCTGCCTAACTCCTTGCAAACAAATAGAGAACAACTCATGAGGTTGTCAATTACACTGTCAAAGAGTTCACATTATTATAAAAGGACATTAATTTTAAACAGAGGTACCAGAAACAAGGAAGCAAATAGGTGATAACAGCAGCTACAACATAATGCTAATCTATTTATTTAAAGCACTTCAGTCTTTTAAAAATTTGTGTCTCAAACCAATAGTTTTTGTTTGATCCTTTTTAGTAGTATATTTACAATTTTTAGCTTTAAATACTGACTTTTAATAATGTAAGTTGCCTTGGGTCCTTTTTAAGGAGAAAGGCAGGATATAAACAAACAAACAGTTAGTTCGTTAGTTTCTGAGCCATAAGACTGACCCACTTAGCCTGCTGTTGAGCAACTTCATTTTCCTGACTGGTGCTTGCATGTGCCCTTCAAGAGTTATTACCAGAATGCCTCTGCCCAGCAAACTTAAACATGCACTCAGACCATTTTCCTTTAGGATAAGAACTGCTGCAGCTTAATGCTCACAGATCACATAAGTGACCCTTTAGGTGTGTTTGCTATACTGTCCAACACAGGTGGCAACCACTTAGAATATAGCAAGGCCTGGTTTCAGCCTTCACACTGAAGCTGCAAAGTCTCCCATAAGAACAAACCTCAACACACCTGTTAAAATTCAAGTCTTCATTACGGTCTTTGCACTTCGACACTCATGGCCATATGGGTTTTTGGAAATCTTACATCATGAACAAGCTACTAAGTCAGCTCAAATATTAAGAAGGAATTTACAGGTTGTGTATTAACACTTTTCCTGTGTTTCCTGTATTAGCTCTTCTTCTGATATTGTTCCTGCTGAGATAACAAATCTTAGGATACTAGCACAGTTAAAGGAGGTGCCAGATACTTCCCAGTTTGGGTTTTTACACTTGCCCATCAATCTTGCTCAATCCCATTTTAAGCTACAAGTATGCAATCACTGGACACTTGGTATATAAAGGCCCGCTAATTGCTCCTCTGTTTTATAAATACATGCCTAAATATCTGATAGGATCAAAAGGACCTAAATGCCATAACGAACTTAACAAGACTATTCAAATTTTGAATAAAGTCATCTTGAAGTGAATGAAATAGAATCTAAGCTACTACCCTAAGCTGGAAATTTACCTTCCTAAAAAGATGTTACTTGAGAAGCCTAGATAATTTTCACTCACCTGTTTTAGCTTAAGAAGAAAGTCATCATAATGCCATCACCACCCGGAGGCAGGGATACCACATTTCACTTGAGTTTCCAAGAGGAAATACCCAAGGAGCTGGGGCAAGCAAGCAACAGGAAAGGAAAATATACTTTTTTAAAAATGAAAAGAGTAAAGACTGCTCAACAGGGTAAAAGATGTCTGCTTTAAAAAAAAAGACGGAAGGAGAGACACCGCAATGTTGTAAAAGACTATAGCTTTACATTTCTTCTCTTACATGAATCACTTATGAAGTTCTAATTCTCCTTGGCTCTTAAAGTATTGGAGAGCTGCAGACTTCCTTAATTGGGCCCCTTGCCTTCATTATTCCACACCAACATTCCCTCTAAGCTGCGTGACTGCGCAGGCATGCAGTGCTGCATCAGGAACGTGCAGCCAAGCCAGTGTTGCCACACCTTGGCTTCCAGTCATGGCCAGAACCCCACATACATGGGACAAAGCCTCCCCCGCAGCACTCCTGGATAGTAAAGGGAATGTTGTTCTACACATTAATCCCCTTCACCAGTTTTAAACAAGCAATGGCTACCTTAATAGTGATGAACATCAACTACAGTATATTTATTTATTTTATTTATTGGATTCCGCCCATCTAGACTAAAGGTCTACTAAATGTTTTACACTTATCCAGAGATTTGAAATCAGTCCTAATCCTTTGTCTTAAATTCTACTTAAAAGTAATAACACCACATTTAATCATAATTAAAACTGGTGAAGGGTGTGAAGAGAGATTACTTCAGTGAAAGGGGAGACACCAGATCAAAGTGAGTGCATAATCTCACACCCTTCCTCTTCCTTATCCCTTAATCATGATAAAGGGATTGTGAGTGTTACTCTGCAGACACTCAAAGACATTACAGGATGTTTTTGCATATTATACATTAGATCCATTTGCCTCAAACTGGTTCTGTCACTGTTGGTTTTCAACAAATGCAGATCCTTTGCTACTACTATCTTACCTGCCTGCTTGCCCTGAGGTTTTTGCTTGACCAGGTTGATCTTCACTTACTGGAGAAATGATGTCAAATTGTATAGGAGTGTCAGGTGCAACAAGCGAGTCCAAGGAAAGTGCTGATAAAGATGCTGAATCAGACCCTAAAGATCCAGTGCTGCTAGTGCGAGTTGTGGGAGGGCGAGATTGTCTAAGAAAAGCAAAATATAATAAGATAGGATCAAATGAAGATGAAACATTTAAGTTATACAATGTTTTATTTGTGCAGAGGTGAGGGATAAATGATGACATTTACAAGCTCTTAATGCATATCATCTATACTTTCTCACCACTTGCAAAAAAGACAATGTGAAACTATTCTTCTGTAAGAAGTTCTGCTTCCAATAGATAGGACAATCCCAAATTAATAAATAATTTCGGGATCATTGCATTGGAGACAAATATATTCGATGACATAGACTGTGTAGAAAACACAGGAAAACAGATTAAAATGAAGGAACCAAAAACCTCATACTGATAAAGCATGATAAATCAAGGGTGTATATAAAAATTACATGAGTAGATACCCTGTTGGTATCTTTATCTATGTGTGCGCGCATACATGTGTGTGCAGGCAAGCAGAAGCAAAAACATTAGCTCCACTCACTCATAACTCTTTTCATTCAAGACTTAAAGAACAGTCTTAGTAAAAGGCTTAAAGCCCCCGTCCCCACTTAATAATTACCATTCATTCAAAAACCTTAATAAAACACTTATTAGGAATTGCAAACCACAATCAAAATTAGACTATGTGGCAATGATAAATAATCTCTCCAGTTCATGTGCTGGTGACAGGTTACAAAAATTAAATGTCAGAGAGTGCTGAGGAAAAAGTTAAAATAGACACTTAAAAACAAACCTCAGCTGGAACTAGATCTTGCAAACATGAGATGTTATGTTCCCATCCTGTGCACATGAACCCACATGGAATGGGTTCAGGGCACAGCAATAGCACATTGCATATGACATGTTATTAGATACAGTGGTGCCCCGCTTGACGATGATAATCCATTCCAGCAAAATTGCTGTAGAACGAAATCGTTGTCAAGCAAAAGTAAAAAGCCCATTGAAATGCATTGAAAACCGCTCAATGTGTTCCAATGGGCGAAATATCTCATCCATAGGGCGGCCATTTTCCGGTGCCTGTAAAGTGAGGAGACACAGCGGGGAGCCATTTTGAACCAGCAGGCAGCCATTTTGAAACCCAACAATCAGGTGTTTTGATGGTCGGAAAGCGGAAAACTGGTTCCCGAAGCAGGGAACCGATCGTCGTCAAGCGGATTTTCCCCATCTAAACACTGTTTTGCGATCACAATAGTGATCACAAAATACTCATCGTGAAGCAATTTCGTCATCTACCGGGGTAAGCGTCTAGCAAGGCACCACTGTACTAGTGAAAGAGAGGTAGAAACAGGACTTTTGTGAAATCTTTCACAAGATTTTTGTGAAAACTACATCACTTCAGTAATATCTACAGTGCTCAAAATGCCTAATACAACAAAGTGCACGAAACACTCAAGAGCATACAAAGAATTTGGACAGTCCGCTGACTAACCTCCTGGGTACCAGTTCACCTATGAAATGTCAGGATATTCTGTTTTAGCCTACTTTCTACCTTCACAGAAGGGGATGTACAGAAGGAATCCTTTAAGTACAGAGCATTACTTCAAACAAGCCCTGAAATGACCAGGCAGTATCAGAAATAATTGTCAAGTATGCAAATGCAAATGATTACCTAAATCAGGCATACAGGATTTAGATCATTTATTAACTCTCCCTGAAGTACACTTCTGCAACAAATGACAATGAAATGTCTTTATGAAGATACATTTGAGGAAAATGCAAGGCAATTCAGTGCAAGCTTCAGGTAACTTTTAGTCTTGCTTTAGAATAACTTTCAATAATCAGAGAATTGCTATAAAAAAGGAGAAACACCATGATGATTAGGTCATGATAACTAGATAATCTGCTATTTTGCAACTTACGCAGTGGGCCTCATGCTCTCATGTCTCTGCTGGAAGGAAGGAGAGGGAGTGACAGCTTCCAAAGCCGACTGATTTACACGTGCAGCAATTTCCTATATTGTTGGGAAGCAAAACATAAAACTTCTCATTGATAACCCTATAATGATATGGGAGCCTTACTTCATTTTACCAATAATGAGTATTATCAAAACTTGACTACTATTCATTCAATTTTTCACTCCGTTCCATTTCAGGAAAAGAAGTAGTAGAAAAGTGAAAAATTTGTTGCTTATAAAATAACTTATTTGTTCAGGGTGGAAATATTTTTGTAACTCAGAAGAAAAACATTGTAGCAGCTCTTGCAAAGTTTGCAGCAGAAATCTGTACCTACTTAGAAACACTGAAAGGCAGTTGAGATGTTTTCTGTGATATTTACACTGATCAGTAAAGTGACAGAAGGAGAGTATCTCTTCTGTATCAGAGACGGAGTGTTTCCTCACAGCTAAGTCCCACTGTACTAAGTGAAGCTCAAGTGCACACACAAGACTGTGGCCTAAGCTACGTTTTCTAAGAATGTTTTCAAGCTATGCTCACCAAGCAATAAATGATAATTGAAAATATACATTCAGATTTGAAATTAAAGTTTCACACTCCTTGTTATGAACAACCCATTTAGAACAGATTCCTTTTAATTTCCTAGTACAGGCTGCTTGAATTAGGACAAATGCTTCAAATGCAGATATAATTTAAAAATCATGACTCAGATTACCTCAGGATTTTCACTTAGGTAGATCTGTTTAGAGATGTTGTTTATCGTACATATCCACTAAAAAAAATCAAAGTAAAGTTTGTAAACAGTTCATAATATTTTTAAGCATCTTCATGTAACTTGTTTTTTACATATGTATGCATTTACTGTACCAAGCCGCTAATTTCTTGAATCAAAGTTAGAAGTGTGGTCAAAACATTCTTTTGATCACATGCCGAGATTAAATTTTCTTGGTCACATAAGTTAAAAAAATTGAACAAAGTTTAAAAAATTGAATACCAAATTCATTATTAAATATCCTTAATATAACCACTTAAAATATTTATTTAATTCTGCATCAATAAGTCAGTGAATATTTAATGGTACACATCTGAAGTTTAATCATATGGGCAAATTAGAACTTCAGCTTTCTGACAACATATACCTGACAGACACATTTTTGTTTATAGCACTTCTGTCAACGTGAGTGTAAAAGTGCTTTAAGGCCAGCACAATCTCATGATTGTCTAGTTCAATCTTCCCCAATTAGGAGTCTCTGGGTATGCTGTACTTGTCATCTGGACAATTCATAGATTCAGAAGAAAAATGGCCAGAACTCAAAATTCTGTTCAACAAGTTCCATGCTCTGAACCTGGGTTTCTTTCAGGGCTCATACTCCCAGTTCCTGTTTTATGGCAAAGAACTTTTGAAATAGAACGATCTGCAAAGATAACTTATAATACATCAGGAATCTGTCAGGTTTAGAACATATGAGTGAATGCAAGCCCTTGGGCTTTTCCTTTTAAAGCATTTTAATTTTCTCTATTTTTAACCCTCACATTTCCTTATCACAGTTCCTTCCTACTAGTACCACAAAATTAATCTGTACAAAGAAAAAGGATCTGATCTGGGCAATAGTTTTAAAACCTTTGAAGAGAGAATCTATAGTAATTCTGGTGCAGAAAAACAAGGAATCTGATGGTGCCTTAAAAGACTAACCCATTCATTGAGGTGGTCTTAACCGATCAGATAGGCGGGATATAAAATAAATAAATAAATAAATAAATAAATAAATAAATAAATGAATGAATGAATGAATGAATGAATAATATCTTGTCGCCTAGAGACAACTTTACCAAAAGATCCATGAATCAGACCAAGTACTACACTTGGTAGTTTTAACATCCATTCTGTGAACAGCTTACCTCTTCATAGTCTTTTTTGCTCTCTGCCTGCAAAATTGAAGACCTGACGGAAAAAGGACATAGGAACCAATTTAGCTACACTTCAAAAACAAAAACAAGCAAAAAAAGACTTCTGATCAACCTGAACATTTGTTTCTATTTAGCTAACATTTCATCCGCTATGAATTGGTTGTTTCCTTTTGAGGTTGTCCCAGTTGGCAGCCATCTTACAAAGAATATTTTCTTGAAGTTTTATAAAGAACATTATAGTAAATGTAGTAAAATTCCTAAGAACAATGGAAAGTAAACCATGAGAATCTGTATCCATTATCATATACCTGTCTGTAGAGTACAGCATTTCTTTCCAGTTTCTTTTGTTTTTCTGCCAATTGCCGTGATAATAATTGCCATGTGTCATAATCAACTGAGTTGATTTTATGTAATAGTCCCAAGCTGTTTATGTCTTTCTTCTTCCCTCCCATCTTTGTCCCACCGCACTACTTTTTCCGTCTAATTAACAATCTCTCCAAAGAAGCAAGAATTGAAATGGTCCTCAATTTCTTGCCCAATAATTGTATTGCTTAGTAAAAAGAAACACTAGAAATACAAACTTTTTGCCATCAAAAGAAGTTATCTGGAAGCAGTATCTTCTGTCTTCACAATCCACACCCATTACTGAACAGTTGTCCAGATCCATGACAAGCCCTCCAGCTACATCTCCTCTTGCTTGGCTCATCAGATTTCCGCCCTGTGTGAAGTAAAACTGTCTGTCCCAGCTAGAAGACACCAGCCCTGTTTTACTGAAATAAGAAAGCAGATGGATTTGGTATTGGGCCACCCAAAAGCCAGAACTAGTACAGAGTGTCCAGCAGTATTCATTTCATTCCACCTTTATCCCAATGCAGGGACCTAAGGCCCCTTACAAAAAAATAAAAAAATAAAAAAAATCAAGCACCTGGCTACTCCTGGAGTTCAGAAACCACCTCATGCTATAGTACCTTGCCCCAGAACAGAAGGGAATGAATACTGGGGACCGGCTAGTAATTATTGAGTAAACTAGGATTCAGGAGGGCTTTTAAAAAAAAAGGTATTAGAGCTTCTTATTTATTATTATTTATGTTATTACCTGCTACATTTATATGCTGCCATTGAATTTTCTCCAATGAATACACAGATCCTCCCTGTTTTATTCTCATAATCACCCTGCAAGGTAGGTGAGGTTGAGAAACAAAGAGTTGCCTAAAGTCACTGTGATGGCTGCGATGATGTCACCTGCCTGTCATTGCTATGGCTGGAGTTCATCTGCCTATAGCAGGACAGGAGGTGGGACTTCAGAGGGAGGAGCTAAGGTATATAAGGGGGAGTGAATGATGTGTGAGTCAGATAGGGACTTGGTTAGGGTCTGGTTAGGGACTTAGGGCATGTGCATGTTATGAGGTACTGTGTTAGTGAAGGTCTGAGAGAGAGTGTATGAGGGGATACTTTATTATATAGATTATTGATTGCCTTATTTAGTTAATACAGTGATTTACTATTGCTTATGTTGTATCAATAAACAATCATTTTTAGTTTTAAAATCCATACCATTGTCTGAGGAGTCAGATATGTGTGTGGTTGGTGGCAGCGTGTAAAGTGTGTATGTAAGAGTGACGTGACACCTCCTTTGTGACGTGAGAGGAGGCTGTCACAGTCACCGTGTCAGCTACATGATCAAGTGGAGAACAGGAACCCAGGACTCCCAACTAGTCTAACCGTCTAACAGACATCCCAAGCTTGCATAATGTATTGTTTCATCTTTTGTCAGAACTGATATGAGCATAATAGATGCTGACCACAGAATATACTATCAGGGTAAAAATTATTATTATTATTATTATTATT